TTTAAAGTGGTGATCCCCAAATCTGACTTTGCTTTGTTGAAGTTGATTGAAGATCCCTCGCCAAACGATGATTCAAATCCTTAAATATTCCCTGGGAAACCGTACTGAAAACCGTCACCCGAACGGTTACAACGTCTCCTTCTCAACCGTCTTCCAACCTTTCTCATGCTGACACGTGTCCCCAGCAGACCAAAATTCCCTATATTTCGCTCCTTGAGCCGACCACAAACCTTCCGCTCTTTTGGCCCGACTTCGTCCTTCGTCCGACCTACTTCTTCGCCCGACCCCACTTGGGCCGACCTCCATATCAACCGCCCCCCTGTCTTTGATCAAAGGCCTCCGCGTTTGTCCGACTCCGCCTTCTATCCGACCTACAGTTTACCCGACCTGCGGATATCCTATCTCGACAACTTTTCCGTCTCGAAGACCTTCCGACTTGAGGTCTTTCCGTCTTGCGGACCTCCCGACCTGAAGACCTTCCGACTTGAGGTCTTTCCGTCTTGCGGACCTCCCGACCTGAAGACCTTCCGACTTGAGGTCTTTCCGTCTTGCGGATCTCCCGACCTGAAGACCGTCCGACTTGAGGTCTTTCATCTTGAGGGCCTCCCGACCTGAAGACCTTCCGACTTGAGGTCTTTCCGTCTTGCGGACCTCCCGACCTGAAGACCTTCCGACTTGAGGTCTTTCCGTCTTGCGGACCTCCCGACCTGAAGACCTTCCGACTTGAGGTCTTTCCGTCTTGCGGACCTCCCGACCTGAAGACCTTCCGACTTGAGGTCTCTCCGTCTTGCGGACCTCCCGACCGGAAGACCTTCCGACTTGAGGTCTTTCCGTCTTGCGGATCTCCCGACCTGAAGACCATCCGACTTGAGGTCTTTCATCTTGAGGACCTCCCGACCTGAGGTCCTTCCGTCCTGAGGACCTACCGACCTGAGAACCTTCCGTCCTGAGGACCTACCGACCTAAAAACCTTCCGTCCTGAATTTTCCTTAGAAATAAATAAATAAATTTATTTTCCTTGATTTCCTCACGGTGTCCTTCAGCCAGTTCAATCAACCCTATTGCCAGGCCCATTCCTCGTTTTACCTTGGGCTTTTAACCTAATTCTAAATTTCGTACGTAACAAGAAGAAAAGTAACAAATTTAGCCAATTTCTTTATTTCACAAAAACTATGAAATGACAAACCAAATTAATTCAAAAATGAATTTATATATCTTTTTTATAATAAATAATGGAGAAAACAGAATACATAATAATTTACTTAATCATACATTAAATATTTATTAACATCATCAGCATATATAGACAATAATTACTTATAAATAGTAACAACATAACAGAAAACTATATAAATTAAGTATATAATAAAGATCAATTATTATCTTTATCATGTCAAATTCAAATGTACTTATATAAATTAAATTAATTATTAAACTAAATCAAATCATTTAAATTGAATTAATTAATATATATACTTAATTATAAAATAATTTTGATTAAAATTATTTAAAAATATATTTGAATTAAATTAATATGATTTATTTTAGATAACATAAGTATATACTAAAATCAAAATATAGAAAAATAATAATTTTATATGCATATATAACAATAGATATTGTAAAATTTATATAAACTAAATCAATTATAAAAATTAATCTAATAATTTGTGTTATTTTTTTTAAAGAAATATATATATTTATTTAATAAAATTAATTATTAAAATTAAGTAATTGATATATCTATTGTTATATATGCATATAAAATTATTACATATAGAGTTGAAGAGATTGTTGAAGAAAGATATATTGACGGTTATGTTCGAAAAACCATCGAAGCTTCTACAAAAGGAAAATAAGAAACAAAATAAGTGAAAAAATGTATTGCCAATTTTTTATATGAAAATGGCATTCCATGCAATGTTTCCAAATCAAAAAGTTACGAGATTATAGTTGAGGCCATTGGACAATATTATTCCGTTTTAAGACCTACTATTTATCATGAGTTGCGGGAACCAATTATTGAGGATGCCTTAAATGTAACAAATAAGTTGAAAGAAAGACACATAGAAGCTTGAAAGTAACGTGGGTGGTCCCTTATGTTAGATGGGTGACAGAAAAAAGAGGGTGACACTTGATAAATTTTATTGTATAGTCTAGAGGGGACTTTTTGTTGTAGTCTATTGATGCATCAGTTGAGTCACATGATGCAAGAATTTTAGCTAACCTATTTGTATAAAAGTTGAAGAAATTGGCAAGGAGCATATTTTACAAAATGTGACGGATAATCAAGCAAATTTTAAAGCGACGGGAAGACTATTAGAACAACGCATTTCTGGTCTTTTTTGGACACCTTGTGCAACTCATTATATCGATCTCATGCTAGAAGACATTGGGAAAATTGATGAATTTAAACCCTATATCAAAAGGCTAGGGATATCACTACTTTTATTTATCTACATGGGAGACTTCTCAGTGCAATGAGGGAAAAAATCGATGGCAGAGATCTGGTGAGGCCGATGACTATCCGATTTACTACCGCATTTCTCACTTTGCAAAATTTAAACAAACATATGAATGAATTGAGGCGGTTATTTTTGAGTCATCATTGAAGCGATAATAAGTTTTCGAAAACTTCAAAAGGCAAAAAAAATGATGGAAATCATTCCTTCATCGAAATTTTGGGGTTAGGTAGAAGATTGTTTACATACAACTCTTCATCTTTTGATTTTTTTTTAGGATAGTTTATGGTGATGAAAAGCTAGTCATGCTTGAACTTTCTTCGGCTATGAATTATGCGAAGAAGAAAATAACTAAATCTTTTACGAACAACAAAAAAACAAAGTTGTTGGCCATGTTGATAAAAATAATTAAGGATTGATGGAGCGATCAAATGGAAGTGAAGTTATATGGGGATGCACTATTTATAAATCCTTCATAATATTTTGAATTGAAGAGGAAGGATCCGGTATTTGATCATAATCAACGTTAGTTATTTAATGATGTTTTATAAAAGATGATTAAAGATAAAGTTGATGGATAAAATTAGTGGTCAAGCATATGATTACATAAAATGGGAGGAAGCTTTGGCCGTCAATTACAATTAACCACCAAATGCAAAAGAGTCATTGCAAGTTTTTTAACATATATATATATTTTTTATTTTCTATGGAACTTAATATCAAATATTGAATATATATATTATCTTTTAAATATATTTTAGTTGATTGGTGGGATGCATATAGTGGTGACAGCGAAGAGCTTTGATCACTTGCCATACAAACTATTAGTCTATGTTGCTCTTCTGCCGGTTGTGAACACAATTGGAGCACATTTGAATTTATAAGTAGATTTGTTCAAAATTTACTTATATTAATATTTTAGTAATAATCTTCAAATTTTGATATAAAAATTTATTTTTAGATTCATACCAAGAAAAGAAATAGACTAGAACACCAAATGCTAAATGATTTGTTGTATGTTCAATATAATCGGAAGATTGCACATCGTTTTCAAAAGTGACGGAAAAAAATAATAATAATTTTAATCCCTTAATTCTTGAAAAATTTCAATGGAACAATGAATGAGTAGATGATTCTCGAGATTTGATTCATGAAGATGCAAATCTTCGGTGGCATCCTTAGGTGCTTCGAGTAATCTCAATAATTCCAATCTTTGTAGTAGAGATATTGGTGAATCCAGGTCCCCTCATCGTGTATGACTGTTACCGTGACCCTTCTAACAAATGTTTGGCAAATGGAGATAAAGAAAACGACAATATGAACACTGACGACTAATGTGAAATTTGAATTAAGGATTTTTTTTTTAATTTTAATATTTTGATATATTAATATTTTAGTAGTTTGATAGTTATGTTTAGTATTTTGATATTTTGGTATTTTGATATTTTATTTGAAATTTAGTGATTTGATGTTAAAACTTTATATTGTATAATTAAATATTAGAAATTTACAATAGGCAGGTCGTTGTATCATCATATTGCCGCGTTGCCTAGGCGATATGGCAAGGCAATGGCGCCGTGCCTATATCCTCGCCGTAAAAATCTTGATTGTATGTATAGCCTGCCCATGAGTGCCCTATCAACGATGTTAAAATTGCATGTTGGCAGAACAATCGATGATGACGATTGAAAATAATTGCCCTTGGAGCGCCATATTATCGTTGCTTCCCAATGAATTGATATGGCAGAGCAGCCTTTGAGAAAAAAATACATTTATCGCCTCTACTCCATAGTTGATCATCGTAATATTGTTGTATATCGATGGTGGCGGCTGGAAATAATTTCATGACACTCACTTTGATTGTGTCATTATAGTGTTGTTAATGACAATTCATTCCAAAGTTCCACCAACCTCATTCACTCATCTACATCAATAGCCAAACCTTATTAATCACCGATCACACGCTTTTCCATCAGTCTTGCATTTTTTTGGGCCGTCGCTAATCATAATCCACCGTTGATTGGTACGATTTAGATTGTTGGACCTGACGCTAACAAAATTGTATTGCGTTGGCCTAATTCCTTTCAATCCGATTGATCAAAATCCTTCGGAATCGGACTGTAATTATCGATAGAATTGTTGTGTGGCAGCGCATACATAACAAAAAAGAATATCTTTGCCTCGCGAGGACCTCTATTTCGTAAGCTTTCTTCTTGTCTAGGGTAAAAAAGCTAGGACAAGCGAGAGACCTTTACACCCTACCCATTGCATATGTTCTTACAAATATTTAATAACAACAAAATTAAAAATATTAATATTTATGTTATATGCTAACATACTTTGTCTACTCCAAATATTTTACTGTTATGATTTTAGATATTATCAATTTTGCTGAGTTGAATTCTTGATTTTGAACTTAAATTCAAGCCAATGTATATGTCTATATTTATCTAAGAAAATCATAACAAACGCAACGCACCCTATAAGATTTATAATCGAAATCTTTTTGTACATAAATCATTCAGTATGATCAGCTCATTTATACAAATTCAAGTCTCAAAGGCATGTATAAATATATATATATATATATATGAATTACACAAAACATTCCAACCACGAACCATAATACTTACCAGCTACTATTTACACAAGAACAGAAAGAAAGAAGTCAGCCAAACCATGGATAGTATGCATATTTACCATTATTTCGCCGTCGAAGCGTCCCTCGGTCGATCCACGCTGATTCGATCAATTAGTTCTTCGCTCCCAACTCATTAGTAGCACTTATAGAAAAACTTCGAAGTCCCAAAATCGACAAAATTTAAGAAATCCAGTAATAAGTGAATCCCGGTTAGCTTCTCTTGGGTAAGTCATAGGCTTTCTTCAAAAACTTTGTCGCCACCTTGTCATTACGACAGCACAAAATGCGTAAAATAGTGTCGGGATCAGTTGCACTCCACTCACATGTTGTTGGAGGCAAGGGAAGTTTTGATCTTGTAGAAGCTCCATTGCTATTTGGAGCCGCATGTCTGAGCTGATCAATGAGTTCCTCAGTCCCGGTTTGTAAAAGAGCAATAACACCCTTCGCAGTGGTCGATAAATTGCCGATCAACTCAGCCGGTAAACCATCACCATTAGACCAAAAAAGGTCGGTAAGAAACTTAAAATCCTCCTCAACTATCAGAGCATCTTGCAGCGTAAAGGCACGGCCACCGGCAAGCAAAACAAACAAGAAACCTTCGAAAGAAGCTTTCATTACATCGGTGATCACGCGGGTCCTGACTCTGTCGTGAACTGTTACAGATATTACTTCCAGATTTCGCTCCAGCTCCTGGAGAAAAGGTTCGATTCGGGAAGAAGAAACATCCCCAAGGTAGAGGTAATCCAGAAGAACATGCCTCAGATCATGAAACACGATCTTGTATGCGGTCGCCTCGGAGAGTAGCCGGATCCCTTCCAAGCAGGAAGGTGCCGATATCCCAAAGTTCCGGTTTACGATATTTTCGTCATGGGTGAAGCCACAGTTCTTCAAGTTAGAGATTGTTCTCATTTCTAGAGCTTCCACGTCTTTTCGGATGTTGTATAAGGTGTTGATGCGGAGACATAGCCGGGGAACACTTAAAGAATCATCCTCGTCAACAATGACGTGGGATTTTCTACCGGGAATCATATGCAACCGGTCTTTCCTCTTGAATGCACTGAATTTTGAGCCGGTCCTGCATCTCGTTAGACCTGGCAGTGGTGGAAGGAAGGAACTTGGAGATCCTGATTAAAAGCTTGACGTCAATACCTGAATTAACACGTGAAAATTTGGTGCTAAATTGAGAGGAATAGAGTTCAATGTTTACCGCAGCTAGATATTGTCTTGGTGATATAGTTCTGAAGGCATTTGTCCAAACCATTCAGCAGCTCGGGAAGCAAAACTGGATGCATTGGTATTGGCAACAAAAAGAATGCCTCCAATGTCTCGTCCATAATTCGTAGAACTTCCACAGCAGAGGGCGCAAAACGCCCCTTGTTCACTTGAGGATTCCAGTCCTACGAAAAAAGAAAAGAGAAATAAAGAAAAGAAAAGAGAAAATCGGGAAATATTACAACCAACTTCCCTTCAAGCACATCTACACAAACTACTTTCAATACTATAGACGGGTAATTAGGATGCACAAACATCCCAAAGGGCATATAAAAACTCTCCCATTATAATAATACGAGAAGATTAATAATGTGGAGAGTACTGATTGGATTAACTGATAATACCAATCAAAATGTTTCAGGTAACGACTACTACGTCATTCGCTTCAAAACACCCAATAAACATATGGAATAAAATAAACTATAAAATACCTGCATCAACCATTGGTAACACTAAATTTTTATTTGTAAAGGATAGATGAAATTTACATATCATTTATGCACAATCAAATAAAAGCATAAGAAGAAGTCCCATTTTCCCACTCTTATAATCAAATATCACGACCTTCAAGTGTGCGAAAACATTCCAGTTACATTATCTAATTATATTGGTTTCCTCGACATCATCTCCAAAGTAATTTCCTAGTAGCAAGAAATATCAGCAATTCAGCATAAAGCATCTCATGGGCAACAAAACCGGATCACATCCAAAAGAAAGACAATTTCACCTATAGATTTTCAGTAGTGTACGATCTAATCAGGGCATTAATTAGTGGCACATCAAAAAATAACAGGAGAATGGTACCTCTTGCTGCAAATTCCTTTCAACCCATTCCCCGAGCCTCTCAATCCTTGTTCTGATCCAGGATTTGACGAGTTTACTGATCACAGCCTCAGCTTCGTAAGGAGCCATCTCCTGAATTATAGCTTTCCCACCATCTTCACTATCGACTGAATCTGCAACAGCCATTTCCACCAGATGTTTCTCGAGTTTTTCAGCAGCTAACAACACTTGAATAGCTTCTGGAGTCAACTCATTTATTCCAGATACAAATTTTTTCAGTTCATTAGCATAGCAAGTATGAAGAGTAGCTGCAGCAACCCCGGTAGCAAGAGGGTGCCATCTTTTCAATACAGGACTGTATATTTCCTTCTCATTGAATGCCATATCAGACAGATTTTGTGCCAGGATGGAAAGGAGTGGGAGAGGACTCGGCTGATTCATAGAAGACTTTCTGCTTGAGAAGACCTTCTCTCTTTCCTGTCTTCAAATGGAACAAAGAGGAGCCTGAGTCGATATTTACAAGATTAAGCAAATTAAGCAATAAATGGATAATTAAAAGCCATATCCCTTTGGGAGTAGGGCTAAATTTTATCCCCAAAAATTAGATGAAAAATGGTTCAACAAATCATAGAATGTTTATTCATTGCAAGCTTCGGTAACTCTTCTATCGTAACTATTATAAGCATACTTTTTTTCTGACAAAATGTTCTCTTCATACTTGCCTGCGAATAAGCGCTGCGCACTGACGATCGTATATAAGCTTCAACCCTGCTATGTGCCACACTGATTTCATTCCTCTTCTTACCATTGTCGTGAGATTTGCTTAACAATAATTTGGTAGCCGTAATCCCAAGTGACAAAACATGTTGCATTACCTCTATGGTACCCCTATAAAAAGTATCATGGTACCGATGAAGCCTTTTCTCGGCCCAATCTAACATGATCCTTAATGTGGAATTTAAGATCTTAGAGTATGCTGGATCATGAGTCGAGTCCGCATCCTTTTCTACTTCCAACATCATAATATCAATGGCCGAAAGAAGGTCATCTTCAATTTCACCAGTGGCAACGTACTGATGAAACAAAACCCACATAAAAGAAAGATTATGAAACTCCTTGTTTATCCCAAGCATAACCCAAGTCTTCTTTATTTGCTCTAGAATCTCGTCAACTTCTTCGACAACAGATGCTTCATCATTTACATCAAAGCAAGCTTCCAAAAGTATCTTATAAAGATGAAGATTTAGCGGTACTCCATCAGCCCAGTGGCATACATCGGAAGAAGAACCATCAAACGATCTGCAAGCAAGAGACGTTACAACGCTGCGGAGAATATGCATTGATTCGCTGTGCTTTCCAGTATCTATGGACTTCTCTGATGCTGAATGTAGAATCTGAAGAAGGCGTTGAGGGGCCATTTGGGACTTATCCAGAGGCAGGTACGGGTGGACCAGAAGTCCAGATTCAAGAACTTTCAAGGTCTTCCTCTGCCATGCTTCACATTCTTGTTGACTAGTAAAATCCGAGGATCTTAACTGTTGCAGTAGCTCTAACGGTAGAACCATCGACTCAATTCGTCTCCCAAGCTGTCAAGAAAATCACCACCACGGAGGATGCCGAATTACTAACATTATTCAAACGAAAAGCCATTTCCAGTAAGCCTGTAATGTTACTAAACTGATTTACACTCTTACAATTTTTAGCTCCACTTTTATCAAGAACAAATTCTATCACACAGTGTCATATTATCTTTCTAATATATCACACAAATTCCTTAGAAGTAAGAACTGTCCACCCCCATTCTCCACCTTGAAATAGTGATGGGTGCCTTTCTTGAATTTTCGAATCTGTTTTCGCACAATAGCAAAACACATTTTCCCCATCTCAACAAAAAACCATTTTATATTAAGAACATGGCGTCGACAAACTAGTTTCCATTCAAATTTTTATTTTCTCAAATCATCCAAACATACCAAAACACAAACAAACATAATACCCAAATACCAGATTCATTAATATACAAGAACATAGTAATGCGTTGGAACAATGTATGGTTCCCAAAGAACAAATTGATTGAAACTTCAGATTAGATCAAGACAAAGACAAACAGACAGTTTCTAATTTGTTTATCCATTTGTCTCATTCATTAACATAATCCCCATTGACCACCTCTAATCCATCTCTACAATGCAGACCAAAAAACACCTTTATATATATACACATAACATCTAAGAAATTTTCCAAAGTTTCATCATCTTCAACGAAAAACAGTCACAGAATTCCTAACCTGACCAGCAGCCAATCTGAGCAAGCCGCGACGGATCCTGGAATCGGTCTGCTCCGAAATCCTCATCTGAACCCGCATCAGCTCCCCAACCGAAGCCCCACCCGTCTTCCTCTCCGGACCCTCGCTCGCCGGATCGCCCGACCCGTTCTCCTCGCTCTTCTTTCGACGCGGTTTGAGCCCCAGCGCCTTCTTAACCTTGCTCGCCGCCGAATTCGTCAACGATTTGTGCATCGACGGCGAGTGCGATGCCTTCTGAGACCGATTCGAACTAGACACGTAAGTGAGGCGCCTTCCGGAGCCGGTCGCCCGGCAGGCTCCGACCAGAATCTCGTACGCCGTTTCCCGGAGCTCCGACGGCGAGAGGTCCACTCCCAGCTCCCCGAACGGGTCCATGCTCCAGTCGCTCCGCCTCCCACTGCATACAAGTGATTTACTGCGCGATTTACGCGGATTGCATTGATACCGGTGCGCAGTTGCCGAATAGCAAAAGAATTCGAGGAAATCAAGCAGTGAATCGAGCAGAAAGGCAGCGGATCGAATGCTTACTTGGCTTCCAAGGAATGAAAATCGGAGCTTTTTCAGAGAATGTATACAATTCTTCAGCAGAAAAGGGCAGAAATTGAAGTGGGAATTGTAAATTGTTGCAGTTGAGGGAAGACAGGAAAGGTGGGCTGGCGGCGTTGGCGAGTTGGGATTCTTTGTGGGAGTTGTGTTGGGCAGCTCCTGAGAGTTTCAACACTCGATCAATCTGGACAGTTGAAGTATTTGGTTCTAGTGAAAGACGGCTCTAATTCATCTGGTGTAAGAGGTCCTGGATCTTTTATTAAGTGAAGCATATTGTGGGACACGTGGCATGAGTAACCATCCGAGGTGGGTTTGGATTACGACACGCCGCGACTATTCTCATCTTTATCGCGGGTCCGCTTTTGAATTATACTTCCTCCTCCATTCATTATGTCAATTTTTTTATTTTCATTATTATTAGAAAATAAGCTCAATTTATTTTTTGCCGAGTTGATTTATAATATTGTTTATTATATAAAAATCCGATTTATTAGTATTTTATAATATTATTATAATAATATTTGTATAAAATAATTATAAAAAATAAAAAAATATTTTTAATATTAAGTATATAGACAGTAAACGAAATTTAGAGGCGGACAGAAATGTATGCATTTTTAAAAATTAATTATGTTTAATTTATTTAATGTAATAGTTTTAATAAAATTAATCTATTTATTTATTTATTTAATATTTATGTGCAAAATAGATACGTTCTTTAATCTAATTTAAATTTTTATTATTATTTTCATTTGTCTCATTCAAAAAGTATCATATTTTTTTAGCTGAGTTTTCCCTAATTTTAGTATTTGGACTCAGAGTTTCTCGAAAAAAATACATTTTTTTCTCTCACAAAATATTCCATCAAACGTTATTTTTATACTAAAGTCAAACCAATGTTTTTTAAAACTTATCAAAACAAATACACCCACTAAAATTAATTATACACTAATATTAAAATATCATTACCTTTTATTTAAATTAAAAATATACCATGTAAAATTACTTTATATAGATAAAATCAAAAGTAAAAAATGTCAAAACTCCAAATAGTCTCTTTCAAATGGGACAAGAAAATATTAAATAATTTGACATAAAAAAATATATATATATTGTACTTGGACAAATAATTTAGGTAATTATTTGTAATAATAGTATTATTTTTAAAAATATATATTACATTATTTACCAAAAAATCATTTGCAATTACTTAAAATATAATTTTTTTAAAAAAAATTGTGTTTGATTTAATTTACCTAAACAATTTTACTATTTATTATTTTTTTTGTTAAAAAAATATCAAATAAAGTACTATTTTTTTATTTTTTATATTATATAAAAAATAATTTAAATTAAAAATATTATATCAATACATAGTATATAATATCAAATAATTATTCAAATTATAAAACTTTAATACTTAAATTTTAATTTTTCAACCAAACACTTAGGTTGTGTTTTTTTTGGGTTATACTACAAGTTTTTATTATTCAAATTCTTCTTTCTTTCCAAAATATCATATCAAATAATTATTTTTTTATATTATTAAAAAAATTTATTTTACATTAAAAACACCACGTCAACATTTATTTATATCATATTTACCAACTATTCAATACAGCTTTTTACTATTCAAAAATTCAAATTCAAAAACTAAAATCCACAGACAAATACATTAAAGTTTTAATTTAAAAATAAATTTTCAATTCAAAATATAGTAATAATATGTATTTATATTAAATAAAAAAACAATTCAAGTTAAATTTTTTTATTATTCATGCAAATTTAAAATTCAAATATCAAACCATAGTTAACATTTATTAATTATAAAATATTTTTTCTTAAATAATAAATTTTAAATTATTTTAATTTTTAGAAAAATTCAGCTATTTCTGATCTAATTCAGATTTTTTATATCATGTCCGAGTTGACTTTTAAAATTTTTGGATCATATTTATTTGTACTAGTTTTAAATAAACGTAATTAAAATAAATTTATGAAATAATCGTGAGTAAAAAATTAAATAAATTAATTTTAATTATTTAAAATTTTAGTTATAATTAAAATTTATTATTATTATTTTTTTTTTCTGAAGAGTGACGTAATTGAATAGGGACAATTAAAAAAAAGAAAAATGATGTAATTAGTAGGAATAGGAAAAATACTTGTCAACTATAACAAATTTTTTTATTTGTCAATGTAAATTGGATATATTTATTTTGGCATTGTATGCCTATTTTTTTTCAAACACGTCCCAATATATATTCAATTTTATAATAAAAGTTAAAATTTAATATAAAATATTGTTTTTTTAGATATATATATATATTTGAGTTTGTTTATTTTGATTTTGAATAGTAAAATTTTGAATTGAAATAGTTATTTGATGTGATGTTTCGAATGTAAAATTTAATTTCATATAATATAGTAAATAAAAAATAAGTGTTTGATTTGATGTTTTTAGAGAAAATAAAATTGGAATAGTAAAATATAAACTCAAATTCAAAAAGTGTGTTTCTTTTGGTTGAATTTGAAAAAAAAAAAAATTGATTTGAATTTTATATTAAAGTAATGTTTGAAGAAATGTTTTGTGAAAAAAAAATATATTTTTTTTTCAAAAAACACAAAGTTGAAAAATAAATTTGAAAAAAAAAAAATTGATTAAAGAAACATACCCGTTCAATAAAATTTTCTTTAAATATTAATATATATATATGCACATTATCATAATACATGATATATATTTTTTATTTACTTATAAAAAACTTATTAATTTAATATAAAGTATTAATTTTTATATTTTCGGCATAATTTTTCATATCTAATATATATAAAAAAATATATTCATCTAAAAACACAAAATAGACACACTAATTGTTTATTTATTTTTATAAGTAGTATTTATTTACAATAATCTTACTTTTATTCTTCTAGGGCTTAAAAAATGTTCGATTTTCATAAAAAAGAGAAATAAGTAAACCTCTCCCCTCCCTTTATAAAAAATTTCTAGTAAAATTTTATAGTATCAAAATAACATTATACAAGTGTTACGTATGAAAATTAGAATTAGGTTAAAAAGCCCAAGGTAAAAAGAAGAATGGGCCTGGCAATAGAGTTGATTGCACTGGCTGAAGGACACCGTGAGGAAATCAAGGAAAATAGATTTATTTCTAAGGAAAATTCAGGACGGAAGGACCTCAGGTCGGAAGGTCTTCAGGTCGGAAGGTCCTCAAGACGGAAAGACCTCAGGTCGGAAGGTCTTCAGGTCGGGGGGAAGTCCTCAAGACGGAAAGTCCTCAAGACGGAAAGACCTCAGGTCGGAAGGTCTTCAGGTCGGGGGGAAATCCTCAAGACGGAAAGTCATCAGGACGGGAAGTCCGCAGGTCGGGAGGCCCTCAGGACGGGAAGTCCGCAGGTCGGGAGGCCTTCAGGTCGGGAGGTCCTCAAGACGGAAAGTCATCAGGACGGGAAGTCCGCAGGTCGGGAGGTCCTCAGGACGGGAAGTCCGCAGGTCGGGAGGCCCTCAGGTCGGAAAGTCCACAGGTCGAAAAGTCTTCAGGGCGGAAAGTCCTCAGGTTGGATAGGTCGGGAAGTTCTCAGGTCGGAACTCTGCGGCGGGACCAACAAGTCGGATGGTTTGTTAGTCGGGATGTCTGTAGCTAATCCAAACAAGTCAGATGGTTTGCAAGTCGGGAGGATTGGCAGTCGGACCAATACGGTTGTAGATTGGCAGTCGGGCCAAAAGGGCGGAAGGTCTGTGGTCGGCTCAAAGAGTGAAATATAGGGATAATTTTGGTCTGCTGAGGACACGTGTCAGCAGGAGAAGGGTTGGAAGACGGTTGGGAAGGAGACGTTGTAACCGTTCGGGCGACGGTTTTCAGTACAGTTTCCCAGAAAATATTTAAGGGTTTGGATCATCATTTGGCAGGGGATCTTCAATCAACTTCAACAAAGCAAAGTCAGATTTGGGGATCACCACTTTAAATTTCAGTCTTTTATTTTCCAGTTTATTTTCTGTACCATACAGTGTTTAGAGATTCCTAATCTCAGGCACTAATTAATCAAGTTTAAGGATATTTTCTATATCTTTGAATTTTACTTTATTTTTGTTGAAAAATTACATCAACAAATTGGCGACCACAGTGGGAGCAAGACACAATTGCTCATTCCAATTCCGGCGATAATTTCATACGTCTTAGATCCGGCCGAATCATCGGAAGGGTCCATATGGCAGGTTCACAACCTCAAGCATCTTCGGCACCGGCGGGAGAATCCGTTCCACCACCTATTGTGCCAAATGCCGGGGAAAACCCACAACCACCAACTGATTGGAGGTCTTATGTTCAACAAATGAACAACCAGCAAACTTTGGTTATGCAGAATATGTTGCGTGAGCAACAAACGAACATGTTGCGTGAACAACAAAATCTAATACAGAATATGTTGGATCAAGCACTGTCAAGGGTTAGTCTTCAACCCACTCAAACTCCACCAGGAGTATCACCATCCAGACTACAGGCAAATTTCGCAGGGCCATCATTCGTGGATAGTGCCTTTCCAAGTGCCACAAATCCCAACCGAACGGATAGGGGAAAATCTCCTCTGACTTTTCCCAACACTGTTCCGCTGGGACCAAGGGTTTCCAGTCCGCAGCCGAACAATACAAGGGAGGACAGGCCTGGAGGATATATACATGATCCTATTCATATTCCTGTGCAGGATCCTTTCCATGTTCCTGATCATCAACGCGTTCATGTAGATCCTGATGAGATCGCACATATATTAAGGGATCAGTTTGGGCTAACTCCTCAGATGGCTAACCGCCCTGCATATCAGAGACCTTTCCCAGAAAGGATCATTAATGAACACCCCCTCCCAAGGAATTATCGACCGCCCGATTTTCATGCATTCTCAGGGGAGGACGGATCTTCCACCATAGAACATGTTGGTCGGTTCACAGCACAATTAGGAGAAGTTGGCAATAACCCTTTTTATAAGTTGCAGCTGTTTGATTTATCTCTTACTAGAACAGCGTTTTCGTGGTTCGCAAGTCTGCCTCCTGGACAAATTCAGACGTGGGAAGGACTGGAGATGGCATTTCATGCCAGATTCTTCAATCCTTTACCAATTTTTTCTTTAACTGATTTACTAGAATTGAGACAGTATCC